CATTAATAACCTAAATTCCATTTTCTGCCCTAATTTCCTTTTGTCAGGTAATGTAACACATGCACGGTAATATATTCATAGGTTCTGGGGATTAGGGCATGGACATCCTTGGGAAGCTGTTACTCTACCCACCACAGTATATTTTATGCACATTGGTGGCTCTATGTCCTATTTCTTAGTGACAAATGGTTAAAAATTAAACTACAGTTATGTAAATACAAAGGATTCCTATATGACCATGAAAAAGAATGACTCTTTTTATTTAGTGTTAATGGAATAATCTGCAAGAAATATTTAAAAAGTAGTGTCAGAATCACTGGGTAAAGTATGCTATCATTTATGTAAAAAAGGCATGAGGGGGAAGCTTAGCTATATGTATTTGCTTCTATATGCTCAAAGTATATTAAAAAACAAAAGCAAAACAAAACAAAACAAGGAAAAGGGCTTTTTCTATCTGCCTAAGAAGCATTTCTTAGTGACCTAAAACCAGGAGGTTTTACCAACTCTTTGAAGATAATACTAAGGAATCATCACCAGCCCTTGAAAAGACACGGAATTACATAGAATTTACAAGGAAGATAATATGGAATTACAATGTAAACAAAGCCCTTCTCTGGCAATCATGTCTTTTAATAAACCACTAACAAAATAAAGAAGAATGTCATGCAGATGGAAAATTATACTATTCAGTTTATCCAGGATGTGAATTCTGTGGCAGAATTCAGAACTGCAAACAAAACAATAGCTGAATACAACTAGTTATGTAATGTTTGGGAACCTCCTGGAGAGCAGCCAACCCCCTGGAACATGACCAAGCACGACATCCCGGGGGAGTCATAGATGGGAGGGAGGTCCCGCCACCTGTGGCATGGGGCCACTGGAGCATTTCCAGCCTATGTCTGAATACTGCTGTAACAACATTTCTTCCAGACCCGTTAAGAAGTCTGGGGCAGATGATGCTGGTGTGAAGTGTGGAAACGGATTTTTGTCAATCCTGAAACTCCTAGTCCATCCTGCATTCATGGGCAAGGAAGAGACCAGATCAAACTAGGATTCATTCACTCATTCATTCATCTGTTCACTTATTTGCTCATCCATTTAATCAATGCTTACTGAATGGCTTCATCTTCCCAGTGCTAACAGCAGAAGACATAGAGTATAATTTCAATATATAAATTTTTAAACCAGCAAAACGATACTATTTTGCTTAGACATGAACACATAGGCAGTGAACTTATACCTGAAAACAAATTAAAAAAATAACTATCATAAAAATCAAAGTGGTGGTTACTTTCAGGGAAGGTGAGGGAAACATCGTCAGAAAGGGACACACATACTTGGAGGAGGAGGAGGGCAGCACAGTCTTGACTTACGCAGCCCATCTTTCTGCACTGTTCTTAGACTGCCTGATCCCTTGATAAACAGAGAAAAGTGACTATGCTAGGTAGAGCAGAATAGTGGGATTTTTGCACTTGAAGCTACTAGTGATCATGCACTCTTACTACTCTCTCTCACCATTTAATATTTTATTATTAAAATAGCCACCACAGCTGTAAATCCTGGGAGACCCACACATTACACAGCACAGGTGAGTAGCACTAACTACTCTGAAAATTCAACCCATTTTCTCATTCTTATAAACAAAGGACAACCATGGACCAGAAGGCATTGGAAGGATCCCTGTGACTGCATGATACTTGCTACCTTGGAATTTTCTAACAAATAAATATTTCTCTTTATTTAATAGCATTAAATGGCATTTAATGTCATTTATTACTCATGTTTGATTAAAATCTGATTCTTTGAGAACAGATAATCAATCCTATAGGTCTAACATCGGACTGTTAAGATTTCCATAAGAATAAAATGAAAAATAATGGAGGAAAGTACATAAAAAAATAATACAATTTCCCAGAGCTGAAGTAACACATGAGTAAGCAGACTCTAATGGCCCACAGAAAGCTGAGGAGGATGAATTAGAAAACTCACTCTTGGATGTGTGGCTTCACGACATTTCAGACCTCAAGTACAAAAAGAAAACTCTAGAAAATATTGAGAGAGAAGTAACAGGCCACCCATCAAGGAATGTGAATTAGGTGACTTCAGACTTCTGGACTTTTACCATAAAGTTGGCACAATGTCTTTAACCTTCTGAGGAGAAATTACTTTGAACCTAGAAATTTCAGCTAAACTATCAGGTGAGTATGAAGGCAGAATGAGATATTATCAGGCATTCAAGGATCAAAGTTTCCCTCCTATAGACCCTTTCTAAGGAAGCTACTTGAGCAAAATGAGAGTAAAAAGATATAATGGAACACACATGGAAACTTTAAAAATTCCTGAGTAACAACTGTGTAGGAGGTGGCTGATCTGACTTAGAATGAGAAGCTGGTAGGGTCTGAGAAAAATGTCTTCAAGGAAAAGAAGATCATACATTCTACAATTAGACAAGAGTGAAGAACTGAAGAATTAGAAACATGGGTTGGAGTGGGAGGAGGAAACCAAAACCTGTACAAAAAAATCAATTCAGGGGCGCCTGGGTGGCTCAGTTGTTAAGCGTCTGCCTTCGGCTCAGGTCATGATCCCAAGGTCCTGAGATCGAGTTCCGCATTAGGCTCCCTGCTCAGTGGGAGGCCTGCTTCTCCCTCTCCCACTCCCCCTGCTTGTGTTCCCTCTCTCGCTGTCTCTCTCTCTGTCAAATAAATGAAAATCTTAAAAAAAACAACAACAACAGAGAACTTAAATAGGGTTACCAGCCATTCTAATACGAAAGTAGAACAACTCACAGAAGGTAAGAGAGAGAAACAGGGTGGAATGGTGGTAATATCCTTACATGTCATGAGATACTATAGAGTTGATGGAACAAAAAATATAGTTTTAAGTATATTTAAGGCTATAAATAAAACTCATAAAATAAAATATAATAAAAATAATTGGGTTGCCAGGGGCTGAGGTAGGGGAATGGGATTGCCTGCAAAGTGGCAATGAGGGAACTTTATGGTGTGATGGAGATATTCTGTATCTTTATTTTAGTGCCAGTTACATGACTGTTTAGGTTTGTCAAAGTTCACAGAACTGTACACCAAAAAAGGGCGAATTTCACTGCATGTAAATTATAACTCAGTAAGGCCAGCAAGGGGACAATGAGATCATATGTGAACTAAATCCTCATCTTTCATAGTGGGGACTCAAATGTAGTATGTCAAGCTGATAAATCAACAAATAGCAATCAATATAAGCATAGAATTAGCACGGAAAATTACCACCACAAGAAACAGCTGAAAGTGCTTCTTGAAAGTAACACTGGAGAAAAAGACTACGAGTTAGATTTTTAATCTTATTATCTACCTGGTTTTACTTATTTATTGGCACCAGCATTTTAAAAGAGAATTCTGAGATATTTTTCTAAAAACAGAAAAGCTTCCAGAGTAGTACAAAGAATTCCATACACCCTTTACCCAATAATATGCTTTATAGCAAAGGATCCACTCCAGGCTCATGTGTTACACTCAGATGTCATGTCTCTTGAGTCTCACTCAATCTAGGACAGTTCTTCAGTCTTTTCTTGACTTTCATGAGCGTGATGTCTTTGAGGATTACAGGCTGGTAATTTTGTTTTGTTCTTCAATTTCGGTTAGTCTAATGTTTCCCCACAATTAGACCCATATTAGATATTTTGGCCCTAATATCACTGAAGAGATGCTGTGTTCTGATGATATCCTAGTGAGTAGTCCATGAGGTTGATTTGCCATATTACTGCTGGCCTTAACTAAAATAACATTTCCCAGATTTCTTCACTGTAAAGTTAGATTTTGCCCCTTTATAATTAATAAGCATTTTGAGGTAGGATAATTTGAAACCCATGAAAGCTTAAGAATGCTTTTTACCTGCACTGATTATTACCATGATTGCCAAATAGTAAATTTTTATTTAGTGGATTCATAGATTCCTATTTATTCAATGGATTATAATCTATTAGTATCATTATTTTCTTGATTCTTCACTTGTTCCAAATTTGGTCAGTGGGAGTCCCTTTGCTGGCTTCTGTATCATTTTGACATATCCCTGTCATTCTTTGAGCATTTCCTTAGTTTCTGACATGAAAGGATGTTCCAGGCTCATCTTCTTTCTCTACCTCAGTCCTAGAAAAAGCCCCTCTTAGAAGAGATTGGGTTCAGAAACCAAGCTTTGGGTATGAGGTGTTCTCATTTATACTAGGATCTCAAAGCTGCCAGGACCTCTCAATGGTCATAGGGAGGAAATATACATAAACATATACACACATATACACACATTTACACATACATTCTATATCTGTGCATATCAACAACCATGGGTTCACAGTGATAACCCCAATTCCGTTTCAATACCAAAGACTCATTTTAGCCTTTCTCTAAGGTACATATATGGAGATATATATATATATATATATATATATATATATATCTGCCTCCTCCAAGAGTGAAAAATAATATTGGCTCTTGTTATCCTGATTACTTTTTTGTTTAATGCTTCTATCTGTATCCAATCTTCTGAAGCTACCAGGTTGCCACTCTACTTGTATATCCCACATGCTGATTCTGGCCACTGCCAGGCTGGCTTCCCATCCTCCCTGGCATACATTATTTTGATTAAAAACTCAGAAATGAAAAAATTAAATAGCCAAATACTATAAAAAGAACAAAAAATAAAATTTTGAGAATTTGTGTAAAGTAATATTCCTACTGCTCTAAAAATCAAGAGTAAACCCAGATCCACGGTTTCCCATCCCCACCCTGCCCCAATCACACCACAAAAGTAATGTACTTTAAAGTTTGATCTGTTCTAGAAAAAAAAAATGAGAAGTGTATAACTTGACTCTATTATTCCTCTATTGATATCATGTACTTCTTAGAGTCTGAACACACATACACACACACACACACACACACACACAGGTACCCCACTTGATGGTCTGGGCACTTGGTAACCTGAGTTTACCACATAGGGAAAGTCTTTACCTGAAATGTCACAGTAAACTGTCTGCTGGTAGAGCCTGGCTTCCAGAGGATTAAAGTACACCATGATTTCAGCTGATGAGTTAGGCCAGACATCACCTTCCTGAAAACCATGAAAGAATCATTAAAAAACAATGTGATGAAGAGGCACTCAGGTGGCTCAGTGGTTAAGCATCTGACTCTTGATTTCGGCTCAGGTCATGATCTCAGGGTCATGGCTCAGCAAAGAGTCTGCTTGAGATTCTCTCCCTCCCCCTCTCTCTGCCCCTCCCCACCGCTTGCACAATCTCTAAATAAATAAATAAAATCTTTAAAAACAAAAACAAAAGAAAACCAATGTGATGAAGAGGAGGCACTGCTTTTAAATGTTACTATTGTGTTATAACCTCAGGAAGCTTGAAGGAAATATTTTTACAACAAATAAAAGAAAGCACTATTTTACCCAACAGATAGTAAATTTATGCTACTTGTTAAGAGGTGGTACAATTTGGAAATGAGCTTCAAATTTCAGTGAGTTCATGAATATATAGTTACTAAAGGAAACTAGGATGTTTAAAACATTTTCAATATTTGTGCATTCAATGGACATTCATTTTATGCCACCAGATGGCCAGCACTGGGCTGCAGAGATGAAGAAAAGTGTGGTCTGAGACTGCATGGAACTCACATCTTAGAGGGATGATACACGTGCACACAAATATTTAAAAATATTTGTGAGAGGTGCTGCACTATATATATATATATATATATATATACAGGGTCGAGATGGACTTACTCTTGAGGTGGCAGCATGACAAAATACTGTAATTCTGTGAAAACATAATAATGGCCCAAGGCAAAACAATGACCAGGTCAAACACTGATTCTAATCCAGTGTGATATTTTCAGTTTTAATGCAAACCACTCAAAAGTCATAATCTTTATTAGTTTTGAAATTATAATACAACATGCCACATATGGAAATCCCCTTGAGATATTTCTTGAAAAATATTTTTGTATTAACCATGTAACCTGAGGCCTCTTCATTAACTTGTCAGGGCTATGATAAGAGATGCTAATCGTACCTGCCTCAAAGGGTTTCCCACCCAAAGTCTGACAAGGTCATGCAGGTCACATACTTTGCCCCACACTTGGTACTTAGTAAGAGCTCAATAAATGTTTACTATAATTTGATGTTATTTTTATGCCAACTGGAAAGAATAAGATGAAAGTACTGAAAAAATTGGGGGAGAAAAAGCGTGTATTTTTCAATGGTTTTTGTAAATAGATCAAGTAGGGCATAAGTGTTAATCATAACCAAAGATCTTTAAATGCTCCCACTAGCTAAATAGAAAACTAAGACAACTTGGTAAATAATTAGGCTCTGGTTTCAGACAATCCCCAATCCATATTCTATTCACTCCAGTCCGGCTGAAATGAACACAGTGCTGGAGGAAAGACTCAGAGAACAAAATGGTTTAAAATGCAGACATCAAACAAGAGGGTGGAAATAGCAAACTAGACCCAGTTGGGTTTGTTTATGAAGGTAACAGACTGATCAGTGCCCTTCCCCGGGCAGCGTCCCCTGACTTCACAATGACAAAGAGCACAGAAGCAGCAGGGAGGACCATGAGCCTCCTGGGGGTCCTGGGAGCTCTTACAGCCCCTGTCAGCCCACGAGGATGAGGGCCCTATGAGCGCAGGGACTGCTTCATTCCCAGCCCTAAACAACGGGTGGCTCCTATTTCTCAACATATTTATCCAATCAGTCATATCTACTCAGTTTGCACACTGTGTACTTCTTAGCAGATGCCTATTCATCTTTGCAGCCTATTTCTGCCATTTTCTCAACTGGAACCACAAAAGTCATACAAATTTAGAGGTGAAAGGGGCCTCTGAGAGCGTTCGGGGAAGAGGGAAGCCCTAAGCATTTTCAAACACGTATTGAGGTGTTTCACTGTGGCACTTTTCCAAACCTTGAAACCAGTACCTGTTCTCTTCTGATACATGGAAAATACTGGCCCCTTTAGGATTTGTGGGGTTCCAATGACAAGGAGTGTTAGGAACACCCATGGCTAGAATGGGCAAAGAGATCAGGTATAAAAGGTGACTCATCCATTCCTGGGTCCATCATTGGGTATTCCATTTCAGAAGAGTTGAAGACCTGGGCTTCCTCCTAACCAACAGACAAATGTATTCCCCTAGTGGGTTTAGACACTGCTTTGTTTGAGGGTATAGAAATAGCTAACCTGTTTCTATCCAAACTGACTGACCAAAGGAGCTACCTTGGATCCTGAGAAAACCTATGCTAGAAAAGTCTCACCAGGGGGCGCCTGAGTGGCTGAGTCGTTAAGCGTCTGCCTTCGGCTCAGGTCATGATCCCAGAGTCCTGGGATCGAGCCCCACATTGGGCTCCCTGCTCGGCAGGAAGTCTGCTTCTCCCTCTCCAACTCCCTCTGCTTGTGTTCCGGCTCTCGCTATCTCTCTGTCAAATAAATAAATAAAATCTTTAAAAAAAAAGAAAAAGAAAAGTCTCACCAGGACAGGAGGAAGTGGTCCTTAAGAAGGATACAATGGAAATGAGATAAGCTCAGTGCATGTGGGAAAATTCAAGCATCTTACGGCTTGGGGTGAGCCAGATCACTTTCTTTTTTTTTTTTTTAATCTATTCTTTTTTTAAGTTCAATTAACCAACATATAGTACATCAGTAGTTTTTGATGTAGTGTTCAACAATTCATTAGTTGCATATAACACCCAGTGCTCATCACAACACATGCCCTCCTTAATGCTCATCACCCAGTTACCCCAGCACTCCCAGCCCCCTCCCTTCTGCAACCCTCAATTTGTTTCCTGGAGTCCAGAGTCTCTCATGGTTTGTCACCCTCTCTGACTTCTTCCCAGTTTTCGCTATGATCCTCTGCACTATTCCTTATATTCCACATTATTAGTGAAACCATATGATAATTGTCGTTCTCTGCTTGATTTATTTCACTTAGCATAATACCTTCCAGTTCCATCCATGTTGATGTAAATGGTAGGTATTCATCCTTTCTGATGGCTGAGTAATATTCCATTGTATATATATACCACATCTTCTTTATCCATTCATCTGTTGAAGGACATCCAGACCACTTTCAAAAGCATTATCCCAGCAAGAAAATCCAAGGTCCATATGCATACAAGAAGACAACACACTTAAGTTCTATCGCAGAAGCATTCCAGGACACCCCATCATCACAGAAGTCTGATTATCAGCACTGGTAGGTTGGAAAATGGTGGGAAGACACACTCCAGAGGTGACCAGAAGCTCCCCAGAGGAGGGAGTGTTAGTTTTTTTTTGTTTTTTGTTTTAAAGATTTTATTTATTTATTTGAGAGAGAGAGCACATGAGAGGGGGAAGAGTCAGAGGGAGAAGCAGACTCCCCGCTGAGCAGGGAGCCCGATGCGGGACTCGATCCTGGGACTCCAGGATCATGACCTGAGCCGAAGGCAGTCGCTTAACCAACTGAGCCACCCAGGCACCCAGAAAGAGAGCACATGAGAGGGGGAGGGTCAGAGGGAGAAGCAGACTCCCCGTGAGCAGGAAGCCTGATGCGGGACTCAATCACACATCTCCAGGATCATGACCTGAGCAGCAAGCAGTCACTTAACCAAGTGAGCCACCCAGGCGCCCTTGTGTTAGTGTTTTGATGTCATCCCTAAAAGGATCGTCTGATATAGAGGCTTCTGGGGCAGAGAAGCCCTTCTGCTTGGTGAGGGAATCTGAGTCCACAGGGTTTTCATTCTGAGCGAATAGGACTGTGGGCTCAGTGCTTTCTTATCCTGGGCTGCATTGGTTTTACTGGGTCTGAGACAGCTGTTAGTAACTTGCAGCTTTTACTGAGCTCTGGGAGGAAATTCAAGAATAAATCCTATTCTAAAACCCTCTCTTGGGCTTGTCGCAGGTATAATGTACATTAAGAAGACTATGTGTATCTATAAAAACAGAAGTGTGGTCATTCAGTTTCCTCTCACAGAGAGATGTTTTCAATCTCCTTCATTTGAAGGAGTTAAGAACATGTAGAAGGACGGTTATTTTTCAGTTGGGATTAAAATAAAAGTGAAATAACTTCTATTTCTTTATAGCAAAAACTCAACATAGCACTTTCTAGCAAATCGGAGAAAATAAACCTCAGAAACAGGCTATCAGCCTAAACTGACCCCACTTTTTACTTCCATAGCTCTGAAACATTTCACATCACTTCTCCAACCCTCCTGAAATTAACTTCCATGTCATTTAAGTCTCTGAAAAGAATGCTCCCTTTGTTATTGTTCAGTTCTAAAGTCTCTTTCTGAAAACCAAAACATTCAGAATTTTCCCTGGCCGCTCTGCCATCAATATCCTTTCTTCCCGGTCCTCAGAAAGCAGCCTCATGGCACAGAACCCCTGCTGTTCCACATTCCTTCCATGTATGACCCCTCTCCCATCACTGTCTATTCTCCTGCTCCAAATGAGAGATTGCATATCTAGGATATGAACTGTAAGTGACTATTAGGTTGTTTGTTGAAAATAATTGTGAAAATGGCCTTCAGTTATGTTATAATTATTTTCCTTCTTGGTCTTAATGTTTTGTTTTTTTTCCTCAGATCCATAGCTGCATTTCACTTATTGATCAAGTGAATCTCCCAGAAGGAATCAACTTTGAATTCAAATTGAACTTTGAATTTGAATCAACTTTTCAGGTCTAAAGCGAACTCTCATATTGCAGCTTTTATTCAAATATTAACTATCTCTGGAAATGGAACTTCATGTTTCCTTCTGGAATAAGAACAACCAACCAAGTAACTGGACGGATTCAGTTCCGAGACTTTTTGTAAGATGTCTATGAACACACTGCCACTAGTTCATAACAGTGGTTATGAACAGTGATACCGTCTTGAGAAAAGTATCCGTTTTTAAAAAATTATCTTCTTAAAAACTTACATTGACAATGACTAAAGGGGCTCTTGTAAAAATCTCCCTTGAAAATCCTTAAATAAAAAAGAAAATATTTTAAAAATCACCTTCCTTCCCACCTATCACCCATCTCCCTCCCTTCTCTCTTCCTTCGTCCCTTACTCCCTCGCTTCCAATGAAGGATTAT